GGAGAGACAGAGAGGGAAGAATGAGACACAGGGAGAAAGAGGGGGAATAGAGAGATGGGGAGGGGGAGAAAGAGACAGAGGGAAGAATGAGACACGGGGAATAGAGAGATGGGGAGACAGAGAGGGAAGAATGAGACACGGGGAGAAAGAGGGGGAATAGAGAGATGGGGAGGGGGAGAAAGAGACAGAGAGGGAAGAATGAGACATAGGGGGAATAGAGAGATGGGGAGGGGGGAGACAAAGAGGGAAGAATGAGACACGGGGAGAAAGAGGAGGAATAGAGAGTTGGGGGAGAAAGAGAGGGAAGAATGCCCCCCCTCCCCTGTCCGCAGGCACCGTGCGGGCAGGGGAGGAAGAGAGGACCTGGGAGCTCACCCTGCAGCTCCTCTGGGTCCTTCTTGCGCGAGCACAAAGCGTTGCCGCGGTTACCATGGCAACGTTACTGCTCTTGCGAGAGTCAACTCTAGCCCTGGAGCTACGGGCTAGAGTTCACTCTCAACACTGTAACCCCATGGATTCCTGGTGGTCGCAGTGGTGAGAGTGAACTCTAGCCCCATAAACACACTGCCCCCACACACACACCATACACATTCACACACTGCCCCCATACACACCATACACATTTACACACATTGCCTCACACATACACTGCCCACCCATATACACACAGACCCCATACACAGCCCCCCATACTAACATTGCCACACACATACACTGCCCACACACCCTACACATTCACACACCACACCCCCACACACACACTGAACCTTTCACACACATTGCACCACTGCTCCTATTAACTACTACAGCCTCATATCCCAGCAGACCCCAGGTAAGTTGTCAAACTGTTCTTAAACGGTTTGACTACTTACTCTGGAGCAGTAGTGGTTATTGTGCATGGATTATTTCTTTAAATAATCTACAAGTGCCCCAGTAGCCAGCCAGCCAACCCACAGGCTGGCCAGTAGCCAGCCAGTTAGCCAGCCCACAGGCTGGCCAGTAGCCAGCCAGTTAGCCAGCCCACAGGCCAGTAGCCAGCCCACAGGCCTACAGCAAGCCACAGGCTCACAGCCAGCAAGCCACAGCCTGCCAGCCGCAGCCTGCCAGCCGCAGTCAGCAAGCCCACAGCCTGCCGGCAGTAGCCAGCAAGCCCACAGCCTGCCGGCAGTAGCCAGCAAGCCCACAGCCTGCCAGCCGCAGCCAGCAAGCCCACAGACTGCCAGCCAGCAACAGTAATTAAGGCAAGAGGAGCCAACTTGGCTTAGGTATCAGCGAGCTATGTTGTGTTGCTATATTGTGAATAGGAACCAGAGTGTTGGAGAGACCACCCTCCAGGCCCCATTAGACCCTAGCCTCTGCTAGAAATCCCCTCCATGGCCCATTAGCCCTCAATTGTAGTTTCTACTGGGGCCTGGAGGCGACTGTTTCCAGCAGGGGATATCTAATGGACGCTGAGATGGCCTCTGCTAGAAAGACCCCCTTCCAAGCCTTTTAGACTCCATTGTAGTCTCTAATGGGGCTTGGAGGGGATTCTTTCTAACACACCCTCTAAAGGACACTGAGATAGCCTCCGCTAGAAAGACCCCCCTCCATAGCCCATTAGCCCTCAATTGTAGTCTCTACTGGGGCCTCGAAGGGCTTATTGCCCTTTTGTTCCTTGTGTCTAAAGATTGTGTACGGTGTGGCTGGAGGCGGGACAAGGGTGGCGCTTGCTGCAGAGTATGGGTGGGGCCTGTAAGGGGGCCCTTGATTTATTTTGCCCGGGGGCCCTGAGGGTTCTCAGTCCGCCCCTGGCTCAGAGTTTCTTACCAAGGTTATAGAAAGGAAAATGCAGGTTGTTTTGAATTAAGAAAAGATTTAGGAAAGTAAGGTTGCTTATTATGCTCAGGGATTGCCACCTACACAGGCTGAGAGCGAGGATGGGATGGAGCACATAAAGCCCGCGGAAGGGGTGGTCAAAGAGGGGCAAGGGGATGGAGACAGGGAAATCAGGGTTATAGGGGCAGGGGTAACCAAGGAGGAATAGACAGGAACACTTGTTTCAACTGTGGCCACTGGAGGAATGAGTGTCCACACCCCAGGAAACCCCACACACCCCAACAACCCCACAATTCTCAAAATATGCCCGGTAGGCAAGAACAACACCAGACCCACTCCCAACACCACTGGCCAGCATATCGCTTAGTTCAGGACTTTAGAGCCCTGAATAGTTTAATTGTGCCCATTTCACCCATTGTCCCTGATGTGACATCCCTCATTACAGCCATTCCACATGATGCCACTTGCTTCACTGTCATTGATTTAAGTAATGCATTTTTTCTATATCTATTGATCAAGAGACACAGCTACTTATGGTTTTTACTTTTTGAAGGCTGTCAGTTTACCTGGACACGCTTACCCAAGGCTATGTGGATTCCCCAGCTGTTTATTCGTTGGTACTCCAACATACTCTAAAAAAACATGGACCACCGGTCATGGTTCCGTCCTTTTTGCAAAATGTTGATGATTTGTTGTTATGTAGCCCTAGCTCTGAGGCAAGCACTGTGGATACTGTCAGCAACTGTAGGTCACAAGGTTGTTAAACACAAAATGCAATTGTGTAAATCAAAGGTTGAATACTTAGGTTTTGTTCTGGCTTTAGGCACCAGACAATTGAGTCCAAAATGTATTGAGGTCATTCAGAGGATTCCTACACCCACTATTCGGAAGGAGTTGCTCACCTTCCTCGGCATGATTAATTACTGCCACCATGGATCCCTGAATGCTCCCATTATGACTCAATCCTAAGGGAGGCTGTACGTTCTGACAGCCCTGAAAATGTCTGCTGGTCACCAGACATGCTAGCTGCATATATTGCCCTTACAGTTGTTATTGTGCAAGCCCAGGCTTTAGGACTACCTGTGTATTGTAAACCATTTCATTTGTATGCTTGGGACAATTGTAAAACCATGGCCGCGGTCTGTGCACAAGAGCAAGGAGGCGGTATGCGTCCCATAGCATTCTTTTCCAAAGTAGTTCGAGCTCCGGTACAGGGTATGCCGGCGTGTCTCAGAGCATTGATAGCATGTGCAATGGCTGTTGAAACTGCTACTACTATCACACTAGGGCATCCTACAATACTTCATGCCAGTCACCAGGTCACTCAGCTGACAAATCTCACCACACAACACATGACAGCCCAGCGCTTCAGTGGTTATGAGATTCTTTTTTTTTTTTAAATACCCAGAATCTGTCTTTTGGATTAAATAAGGTTTAGAGAAAGATCAAAATGATCTGTTCTCTAAAGAGGGGAGAATAGGCATACTTGAAGAATAGGCATACTTGAAGCAAGCGGATTTATTTTCATCAGTCAGGCACATAGCAAGCACCATTCAATTCCTCATGAATTCATTTTATATTAGGAATCTTAGGCAGCATGTACAGTCTTTTGTAAGATCGTGTGAACGCTGCTCTTTTTACACACTTACAGATTGATTTTATTCATGTATCCAAAATTGGTAAGAAACAGCAATACTTACTGGTCATAGTTAATCAGTTTAGTAGATGGCATGAGGCCTTTGTGACATCTAGGGAAGATGCTAGTGAAGATTATTGTTACTGAAATTATTCCCCGGTATTGCTGCCCTCTGCAGATTGGCTCTGATAATGGCCCGGTATTTGCAAGTGGGGTTGCCCAGGAACTTGCTAAATTCTTGCAAGTTACCTGGCAGTTTCATATACCCTATCATCCACAGAATACAGGGGTAGTTGAAAGGATGAATAGGACTATTAAAGAAAAGCCCAGAATTTACCCAGGAACATGGGTAAATTGGACTAGATATCTACCAGCTATTTTAGCTGAGATAAGAATGAATCCCCACAAGGTGACTAAATTATCTCCATTTGAGATTTTGATGGGATGACCTTTTCCCACACCCTGGGCCAGGGAATCGCTTGTTATAATGTCTGGGGATTTACAGCTTATACAAGAACAATATGTACAGGAATTGTTGATAAAACCGAATGGTATGTATGACAATGTTTCTTCGCAGTTTTCCCTTACCTTCACAGGAACCTACTCATTCATACCAGCCCGGTGACAAGGTGTATATCCGTCAGCTGAACAGGACCAAGAAAGGAGGATACCCTTTTGGACCACCTGCTACTGTGATTGCTGTAACCAGAACCGCTGTCCTCACAGATTCCCATGACATCTGGATTCACGCATCCCAAGTGAAGCTGTGTCCAAAGAGGGGAACCAAGGAAGACAACACCACTCCTCGCTCGGAAACAGAAGAATTTCTCCTCAGCGAAGCATCATGGCTTTTACACCATATCGTAGATTGAGAGGATCATACGTACCTGAGACCAAGATTATGTTGTGTGCTGTGCTTTCTGGAGTTGTTATACTCCCTCTGATATTGTTCCTTGAATGCCATTATGAGTACAAGTCAATGGCAAGTTCTGGAAAAAGACTCTGACATGATGAACAATTCTTCAATACCCCCAGCCCAATTAGGCCTTAGCCCCTCATCTAGCATTCGTCATACACGCCCCCTCAAGAACCTTTCTCCACCACCTTTCTATCAGCATGTAATATGCAATCATTCATTCACTGAACGCATTTGGATGAATTGGACAAATAGTAACCCTTATAAGTACCAGTTACCCATATGAAATGTGTCTACAGCTAATGAAACCGATGCATTATGTTTGTTTAAAGGTTCACAGAAAATTGTTAGATCTTATAACGCAGAAATGTGCACAGTTAAGGTTGCATATCAATGTAAATAGACAGGCCTTATTACTTTTAATAATGATTATATAACTGGTATCATTAATTGGAGAAGGGGACAAATGTTAGTCATTATGAACAACACTACAATTGAGAACTATACACTACCTTATATTTTTACACCTTATTACTGTCCTTTATCCTCTACCATAGAACCAAAAGTCAACAACGACACACACACACCTATTCCGTCCACATGTGTTAATACAACTGCCTTCTTACAAGCTGTACATGTGTCATTAAAAGTCACTACTCCTGTTGTAACATTATGTAACACAGCAAACAAAGGCAGAAAAGGGAATGGTATGACACACTGTTAGGAGGTGCTGGAACCACTATGGGTATACTAAATAGTTATAGATATGGAGACCCTCAAGAATAAGTTAAACACAGCCAGCATGCATATAGGGACTGGTTTCCATGCTACTGCAAACTGTGCTCCAATTGTTGTTAAATCACAGGTTATAGGATTGGATTTAGATAAATCAATGTATAATTATTTAGATAATTTAACTGTTGCAACTATGAAATTCACCACAGATCTCGGTAACTGGAGTACTTGTGCCATCAGGTATTTATGGATGCAACAACAAAGATTGGCATTAGAAAACACACTAATGATTCCTAAACTAGAGAAGATTAGAGGAAAGCGTAACCTCACAGATAATGAATGGTTACTTCTAAAACCCCAATCCAGTAAATGCAATGGATGGTTAACTGGTAATGTTTCACATTTTTCATGCTCTTGCTATTTTACATTATATCATACATCATCAAAGGATGTTAAATTAGCTTGTCAATTTAACACATTACCAGTACCAGTTTATGATCTTTTTGCCAAGAATTTAACCTGGTGGGCACCCACATACACAGGGGACTATATTGTTCCCAAAGATAACACACACAGGTAGCCACACATATCCTAAAAGGAGAACTCCTTAAGGTGAGTTCACAAATTCAGAATGATTTAGCCCATCATTGGTACAATGCTTCACTGGTTGGTCCCCTACTGGATCTCAGATAATGAAATCATTCTTCTATCATTTTGTTATTATAGTCCTGATTTTATTGTGTATGATTTTATATAACTGTCACCTTACTTGTACATTGAGGAAGAGAGTACAGAAATGAATCCATTTTGCAGAACAGAAACAATTAGAAATTCTCCTCTCTGCCACTGGAGGGTATCAACCCATCTTTAAACTGGGCCTTAGGAATTACCACATGGGAATCGAGGTGAAGAAATTAATGAAAGTCCCGCAGGGAGTGACTAGCACCCCTGAAAATACCATGTGGAAGTTTCTCTGTCCTGATAAGATTTTATCGATAAGATGAGCAATTGTTTTATTGCTCAAAGAGGGGAATGTAAGAATATTAAATAGTTAACTTGTTTATATGTATTTTATGCTTTTATAAGGTTTATAACATGATTATTGCTGACTGAAGGGATATTGAATACTTAAAGTCAATATGCTGACTGTGACAGACTAAGGTATTTCTTCTATAGGATGTAAGACAATGCTAAATTTCAGGATGTCTTGCCCATTCCGATTTCAGGATATTCTTTTCCAGACGTATGCAAAAGCTTATCTTTCCATTGTCAGAATAACGTAATACAAGGAAGTAATAAATCTTATAGTCTGTACTGTAATGAATGGCATATACCATGGCTAATGTAAGCAAACTATGTATAAAAGCCAGCTCTGGAATACACTCATTTGAGAGTCTTGTAAAGCTGTTGTCCGTGTGTTATTGCTTACAAATGATTCTCCATCAACGTTGATTATGGTGACCGAGGGATCGAGAACCGAGGGGATTAGAGTCCATTACAACATTAACCCTTTCAGTAATCTTACATTTTAAATTGCTTTAAAACTACAGATAGTGTTTCCATGTTTTGTCTGTGCTTTGGTATATGTGTTGTGAATCTATGCCTCTGCATTCCACTGCAACACTGAAAGGATTAATTTTAAAGGACCTTTATATTTGCCAGGAAAACAAACTCGTTTTCCTGGCACTATAGAGTCTTTAGGTCCCCCCCCACCCTCATGGCCCCCCTCCCGCTGGGCTGGAGGGGGCTGAAGGAGTTAAACACTTACCTTTCTCAAACGCCGGGCTCCCTCGGTGCTGGGGAACTCTACTCCATCTTTAGACATCAGTGCTGAATGTGCATGTGCACGCGCATTCAATCAGTCCATAGGAAAGCATTTCTCAATGCTTTCCTATGGACGTCAGCGCGGAAGCGCCTCCAGCGGCTGTCAATGAGACAGTCACTAGAGGCTGGATTAACCCTAGTGCAAACATAGCAGTTTATCTGCTGCAGGATAATACTAGATGGACCTGGCACCCAGACCACTTCATTGAGCTGAAGTGGTCTGGGTGCCTATAGTGGTCCTTTAATAATGGCACTCCATCAGGTGAGACCTCATACCTTACTACAATTCTGCCAGTAAAAATATTTATTTTTAGCCAATTAAGCTACACTACCATGTAATGAATAGTTATGTCCTATGGAACCCTAGTGTTCTGCCAGTATGTGAATAACGTATTTGCTTTAAGTTTGATGCAACACCAATTAATTTAATTCAGCATTGGTTTTTAGTATTTTGTTTATATATACTGTTTTAAAATTATGTAGAGTGAGCATGTCACATTTTGTCTAAAGTATCTAATGTTAATAACATTTAATAGACCATAAACAGGCCTGCTCTCATGCAGTGATGTGTGGGTCCTGTGCCCTACACATTTGGATAGTCCTGATCCCAGACAGAATATATGTGTAAGGATCCAAGTTCTGAATATGAATAAGTTTATGAATTTATTGGCACTGTAGTATCTGCTTGTTTTGATTGTATTTGCAGATTTATCGATAATACTCACTGTGGCAAAGATGCCGCTGCCATGAGCTCCTGGAGGAGCTTACTGGCTCCTGCCCAAGGACTATGGGCCATGTAAAAGACCTGTTAAAAGACTTAGTTTGTCAATACTTGGACTAGTGAGGACATCCCCAACCCGGACCTCTCGACGGCGGACTTAGCCCTCATACCCAAACCGGACAAAGACTGCACGAATGTGACAAACTACCACCCCATATCCCTCATTAATTTTGACATGAAACTCTACGCGAAGATACTAGCCACCCGACTGAACCTTATCCTCCCCAAGCTCATCCATCCAGATCAGGTGGGCTTCGTCCCTACCAGACAATTGTATGAAAACACCAGACGAGCAACTGACCTGATGTGGTGGGCGGGAAGGACGGAAACGCCTTCTCTGGTCCTATCCATGGACGCGGAGAAGGCGTTTGACAGAATCCAGTGGCACTATATGTTTGAGCTGCTCAAGGCGATGCACTTCCCAGCTACCTTTGTTAGAGCAATCCGAGCCCTATACAGATGCCCCAGAGTACAGACGCTGGTACCGGGAGCGTCACCGCTCCCTTTTGTACAGCAGAACGGCACCAAACAAGGCTGCCCGCTATCCCCGCTGCTGTTCATATTGGCGCTTGAACCACTATTACACTTGATAAGACACAACCCAAGAGTGAAAGGGATGGCAGTGGCATCGGAGAGCTTTAACGTCTCTGCGTATGCAGACGACATCTTGCTCACCCTCACGGAGCCGCTGGAGTCGGTTCCCCCCCTCCTTGAGCTGCTAGACACTTACCAACTAGTTTCAGGATATAAAATAAACCTGGATAAATCGGTAGGAATGCCTCTGAACATGACAGAAGCGGACGTTCAAACACTACAACAAACGACAACTCTAAAGATCTCACACCAACCCATTAAATACTTGGGCATCAGACTCACGACGCAATATACAGACTTGTACGCAGAGAACCACCATCGTCTGCTTCGGACCCTGCTCCGAGACTTAGACAGATGGCACGAGAAACCAATCTCGTGGATAGGGAGATTGCATGCAGTCAAAATGAACTTGATCCCACGCCTTCTGTTCCTCTTTCAGGCACTCCCAGTGAGAGTATCTAAAAATTACCTGAAACCATTGCAGACAGCTATCGATAACTTCATCTGGGCCAGGAAGAGACACAGAATAGCTAGGCATACGCTATATACGCCTAAAAGCAGGGGAGGGCTGGGTCTCCCACACCTCTACCTATACTACCTATCCGCCCAATTAGCGCAAATAGTGGAATGGCACTCACCCCCAGACTCCCACAGATGGGTGGATCTGGAAACACTTATCATGCGCACAGACCTCCCACAGTACTGGATTTGGGTCCCCAAGGCAGATAGACCTGACCTCACCACGACATGCCCCACCATCCTGAACTCCATACGAATATGGGACACCACAGCGCACAAATATGATCTAACACACTGTCCCTCATCACTAACCCCATACCTGCGCAATAAAGCCTTCCCACCGGGTATGAGCCCTAGAGACTTTAGGGGTCTGGAAGACACAGGGATCCAACGTTACGGTCACCTATATCACGGGGGCACCTTCCGAACCTATGACGACCTTAGGACGTTAGCCACACTCACCACAAGGGACCACTTCAGGTACCTCCAGCTTAGAGACTTCGCCAAGAGCACTGTTGTCCGAGCGGCAGCGGGGGCTAGACCCACCTTCTTTGAGACACTATGCATATCTGGGGGACCACGTAGCGGCCTCATTACCCTCCTTTACACGCAACTGAGCGCCCCGACGGGGGCTGATCAAATTCCCACATATGTCACACAATGGGAGAAGGACCTTAATCAGACCCTAGAAAGTGGGGAATGGCAGGACATATGGGAGGCAGCGACAAAAGCTTCCATATGTGTCCTGCATCAGGAACAGTGCTATAAGACGCTTATGTGTTGGTACACTACCCCAGTCAAACTATGTAGAATGGGGAAGACGCCCTCTGACACATGCTGGCGACGCTGTGGAGAAAAAGGCACATATCTACATATGTGGTGGACATGCCCTAAGGTAGTGACATATTGGGACAGTGTAGCGGCCCTACTGACAGAGGTAATGGGGAAACCGATCACGCCTAACCCCTGGACGTTTCTCATAGCGAAACCACTGGACAACCTAACCCATAGAGAACAAAAATTGGTAAATAAAATTAATTTAGCGGCCAGGAGGGCGCTCGCGCATACCTGGCTCCAGATTGACATGCCACACATGGACAGAGTGATACACTACATTAAGAAGGCGTGCCTCATGGACAAACTGATGGCACAGGTGAGGGATACCTATCCATTCTTCCTTAAGACCTGGGAGCAATGGGAGGACTATTCCAACCGCTGATCGAGTGGATCAATAGAACGGATGTCCCCCCCACCCCCTGCTGTGGTAAGTGATGTCCTTTCTCTCTACCCCCCCTCGCCCCTCCCCCCGGTCCCCGGCTACCACCCCCCCACCTCCCCCTCTCCCCGAGTTTGGGACTCGGTGTTTGGTTCAGGCATCTTAAGGTCGACATACTAGATGGCGAGAGGGGAATAGTAGGAACACAGGTGTTGTCAGTAACCCAAACACAAAGGGTGCTAATAGGCAAGCCGGAGGGGCCCTCGTGCCCTGTAGGAATATGGTACCCCCACTTAGATAGCTAAGGCTACCTCTAGCACGTGACAAAGCACCCGACACAGGGGAGCTCCTCTGAGGCAAAACATCAGCTAGCATACTAGTACCCCAACTAAGACTAGTCTGCACAATACCCTTACTCGGTGTTACAACCTGCCCTTCTTGGCATTAGCCAATGTAGGCAAGCTGCGATCTTTATAGCAAAAAACCCCTGACAAGGAGAAATTAATGCAACCCCTTAGATGACAAATTGTTGGCAGAAACTGGCCGCCCAGGCTACAGTCACTAGGGATTGAGCATATCATACGACTGATTGATAAGCTAGTAGCTACCTGATAAATTGACAACCTTGTCAAGCCGACAAATAACTAAATAATTGCAAAACCCCACCAGAAGTGTTAGGGAGACCTAAAAGACGAACAAACCGACCCTCAACGCCCTGAAGGGGACGCCTTTCACCAGGGACTTACCACTGCTCCCTTAAGATGACTTCCCCAGGATGTTGGTACAGACATTGAGGAGATTTTAGTACACTGTTTGTAGTGAGTAGCCATGTAACTGTATCCAAACATGGGGTCAACAGGTGCCTGCCAAAGTTTATGCTTCAGGTGGTCACACCACTGGCAACTCATCACGCCCACCTTTTCTGCTCACAAGGGGTGCAGCTCCTTCAATGCTATGTATGCGATTCAATGTATTAAAATTGTGCTCATGTATGCTGTTAAGGCATTATATGAT